TCTTAGTGGGTATGAGGTAGTACCTCATTGTGGTTTTGACTTCCTTTTCCCTAATGACTAATGATGTTGAGCCATCTTTTCATGTGTTTATGTTTTCATGGTCATTTGTGTATCTTTGGAGAAATAGCTGTTCCAATCCTTACCCATTTTTAAATTGTAGTGTGTCTTTTTATTGTTGAGTTATAAGAGTTCTTTATATATTCTAGATACAAATCCTTTATCAGTTATATGATCTACAAGTATTTCCTCCCCATTCTCTGGGCTTTTTATTTTCTTGATGATGCCCTTTGAAGTATAAAAGCTTTTAATTTTGATGAAGTCTAACTTATCTATTTTTTCTTGTATTGCTTGTGCTTTTGTATCTAAGAAGCATTGCCTAACCCAAGGTCTTGAAGATTTACTTCTGTGTTTTTTTCTGACAGTTCTGTAGTTTTAGCTCTTTCATTTAAGTCTTTGATCCATTTTGAGTTAGTATTTATGCATTTATGAGGTAGGGGGTCCAGCTTCTTCTTTTTTTTTTCTTGCGCATGGACATCCATTTGTCCTAGTATCATTGCTGAAAAGACTTGTGTCACCGTTGAATTGTTTTGGCACTCTTGTGGGAGATATTTATGGGTCCTCCTCGCCCTCTGGCTGCTTAAGTGTATCTAATAATTCTTATGTAAAATAGCTTCCTGCTGATTTTCATTAGGATTGATGGAAATTATCTTTTTTTTAAATCTGTTGATACACTTCATGAGTACATACTTGGTGAGATAACCTCCCACCCCTTGATCTTTCAAACAGCTGCAATTTAACCACACTTGGGAGTACTCTAGAAGCCACCAGAAACCACTTTAAAGAAGCCAGCCTTAAGGCAGTATGGCATGGCTTTCTGTTCTCTGTATCTGCCCTGGGAGAATTTACTGGTGTTCTCCTGTATGGTAGGCAGTGACAAGGATGGAGGGATGGAAAAGAATCAACGATTGGGGCTACAGCATTCAGCAGGTACATTGTTCTAAGACTTACTATGATTAACTGAATGATTTGAGAATTGCTAATAATTGATATGAAGTAGTCACTAGGAGAAGCCCTAGAAAAAATAGTCATCACTGGTATGACCAGTAATCTCTGAATGTGAGGCTGACTTGCCCCTTGGGACAGGGGAATCTGAAAGGTCTAGAGTAGTGCCATCCAGTAGAAAGACAAATGTGAGCCTTTCCTGTCATTTAAAAGATTCCAGTAGCTATGTTAATAAAAAAAAAAAAAAAGTAAAAACAATCAGGTGAAGTTACTTTTAGTAATATAATTATCTAACTCATCTATAAAACATTGCAACATGTAATAAATATAAAATTAATAAAATATTTTACTTTTTTGGTACTAATTCTTGGAAATCTAGGATATATTTTACACTTACCGCACATCTTAGTTTGAATTGGCCACATTTCAGGTACCCAGTACTCGTGTGTGGCCAGTGGCTACCGTATTGGGCAGCACAGTTCTAGAGGTTTTGGTGTGACAGCCAGTTGAAATATTATTTAATACAGCAGCATTACTCAAGCCTTCTCTGCACTTCAGGGTACCCTGACTCATTCCTTTAACTTTGTAGAGCTGGTTTTTGAGGAGCTTTTTGCCTGTCTGTTCAGTGTGGCCCTCACCAGGGGAATAAGTGCCTGCTCACTTAGACCAGAGAGTCTGAGAACTTTGTTAAGCCATGTGGGCAACTCAGCAAATAGGTAAAGAATAAGTGAGAGAGACACATTGTATTAATAATAAAGGTGTCTGAGCCTCTCTAGTGAGAGAAAATGATCCATGAAAATTAGAATCTCTTTTGCCTTATCACAGATATAGTCTACTCCATTGAGGTAAAGCAATATAGAGAAAATACTCCTTAGTGCAGTGGTTCTCAGTAGCATGGTTTTGCTCCTGCCTAGGGGATAGTTATCATTGTCTTCTGGACTCATTTTTGATGGCCACACTGGGTGGGGTGTGTGCTATTGTCATATAATGGCTAGAGGCCAGGGATGCTGGTAAGCATCCTACAGCACACAGAACAGCTCCCACAACAGTGAGTTAACTGGCTCATGTGGCAACAGTGCCCTGCACTAGTATAATAGAACAAGGTCCTTGATTTCTTCTCTTTCATTAAGTAGTTTCTACATTGAATACAACGTGTTTTATTTATTTATTTATTTATTTTTTGAGGCAGAGTCTCACTCTGATACCCACGCTAGAGTGCAGTGGCATCATCATAGCTCACTGCAACCTCCAACTCCTGGGCTCAAGTGATCCTCCTTCCTCAGCCTTCTCAGTAGCTGGAACTACAGTTGTGTGCCACCACACCCAGCTCATTTTTCTATTTTTTTGTAGAAATGAGGTCTCGCTCTTGCTCAGGCTGGTCTCGAACTCC